CCCCCCCCACGAGGTACAGAGTCGAGGCTCTTACTCCCCCACCCCACGAGGTACAGTGTCCTGGCTCTTACCCCCGCCCCCGTACCCCGCTCCCTGTTAATTTCACCAAGCAGCAAATTTGTGACACATAAATAAATCAAACATGGAAAAGGCAGTATCAGAATGATACAGGAAAGCGATTAGAATTAGAAATTCCAAGGACGGGAAGATTCTTCCAGCTGAGGACGCAGGAGGGAAAGCTTGGAGAAGCAGAAGTGAACTGTGAGTAACAGCTAATCAGACTGAAGCAGCAGGGAGGAAATTTCACGCGGAGAGACATGCTTGAGGCAAAGCCTGGAGCAGGGATGTGGGAAAAGTGCGCTTTGCATTTGAAAGGGCCGCCTGGATAGAGACCTTAAAGAGGGCTCCTTCGGGACACAGGGAGCCCTAAGCACAGAGGAGTGTGACCAAGTCAGCAAAAGCTCTCTTCTCTCCCAAGTTCACAGCCAGTTGAGAGGTGTCAAAGGCGGGGAAATTGGAGCTACGCCGCTATTAGGAATACAGTTAAAGCAGACTGGAGAATGTGCTTCAGACTGGCGGCCCAGTGGGCTGCTAACAGCTCTCCCCAATAAGAAGGTCCTCAGAGGCCTCGCTCTGGTCAGGCAGCAGGTGTTAGTCTCCCCCATTTCTCCTCTCCCTGCTCTCTCCCTCCTTCCCCGGCTCCTCCCTGCCTCTCCACTCGCTCTGCCTTTCTCGCTCATCTCCTATCTTTGTAATTTAAGCCAGTTTATGTCGTTAACACGCAAAGGAAAGGACAGGGAAAGACAGGCACGGAATTCGTATTTGAAAATGAGCTCAACGATTTACAGCTGAGGGGTCTGGAAAGAAAATCCCAGACCGGCCTCAGCTGATGGCGCTCTCTTCTTCCCCTCACACCAGACGGCCGGCCGTAGAACCCCAAATGGTACGACTGGGTGCCCCGCCCCGGCTTTCTAGCCGAGAAAATGCTCGTGGGAATTTTCCTCTCCAACGCCTAGAGAAGCACACGAAAAGTTTTGGCACACCCCTCACACAGGAAGCTTGGTCAATCCACACGGGGTTTCCTGCCACTGAGCTGCTTCCGGTCCTCCATCAGCCGCCCTCAGGATCGCAAGTCCTGTGTCCTCTGGCTCCCTTTCCCCTTGCCTCCTTTTCTGTATTTCTCTGCTGAAGATATTTAACTACCTCCAAGAGAGTCACTCCCACATAGCTGGGTCAAGGTTACAGCCAACTCTACTGGCAGGAACAGCTGCCCAGCTACTCTTTAATTGAGCACCTTGATCCAAATGGTGCTTCCTCAACTCTTACCCCTCAGTTTTGCTCTACTCCACAACTGCTCTTCTGCCATGTTCAGTCATATCAGGGACCCCAAAGTGATGGGGACAAACCATGAGGGTCTGAGGCCTCAGGCACCACGAGGCAAAGTAAGCTTGTCCTTCTAAGTCATTTATGCTGGTCATTTTGCCTCAGTACTGGAAAGCTGGCTAACACCCATGGCAGGAAAATGCCGGCTTAGAAGGTGTTTTAGACACAATCGGCATTTGAGCATCCCTGATGGCACTGGGATGTGGGAGACATCATGAACTTGTCACTAAGAGATAACTCATCTAAAACAGTCATCATAGGAAGAGACTACTTTACCCTCTTCATCCTGTCTTGGTCTCATCCAAATATGCACAAAGACACGGAACCCCCTTTCCCTCAACCAACGGTTCTGTGTCCTGTTGTTGACCAGAAACGTCATGAATGAGATAGATATCCATATAAGTGGACTTCCGGGCAGTGCACAGAGGGGCTTTACATATATTTTATCTTTGAAAACCATTTTGAGTCACACATGGTATCTTCTGCACCTAAATGTCTCCTAGGTGTTTGTTCCTCAAATGGCCATTAATCATAAAGGTTTTGTGAGTGTGTGGGAGTTTGAATGAGAACGGCCCCTGTAAGCTCATATGTTTCAATGCTTGGTCCTCAGCTTGTGGAACTGTTTGGGAAGGATTAGATGTGGCCTTGTTGGAGGAGATGTGTCACTGGGAGTGGGCTAGGCCCAATCTCTGTCTTCATGCCTGCAACCTTCAAGTCAGTTGTGAGCTCTCAGCTACTTCTCCAATGCCTGCTGCCATACCCCCCACCACGATGGTGGGCTAGCCCTCTGAAACCCTGAGCAACCCCTAATTAAATACTTCCTTTTGTAAGTTGCTATGGCCATGGTGTTTCCTCACAGCCACAGAGCAGCAACTAAGACGGAGTGTGTTGTCCATTTCTATGGAATACTTGATAAGATGATACGTTTTATACTTTGTCTATTCTCAAAGTCATATGAAGCCATTGACAAGAGCAACACTAGGGGGGCAGAGGGGGGCAGAGGGGGCAGAGGGGGGGGCAAATAGTTTTATACCACCCTGGTCTACACAGTGAGTCCCAGATCAGCCGGAGCTACATGGTAAGACCCTGTCTTAAAAGAAGAAGGAAGGAAGAGAAAAGTTGGAATGGAATAATGAGGGGGAATCAGGAGCATAGTTACTAGAAGCGGACTGAAAAATCGTGCACGTGGGTTAGATCTGGCACAGGCCCTGCTATCTCAACAGAAACTGCCCTGCCACCCAGGAGAAGCAGCATTTGGCTTCCCCTGACAACTGGCAATGCTCCCCTATATCCCCTCATAAGCAGAAACGCAATAGGGACGTCACAAACAGCAGGTTTACAATGAATACACAGTTCTGAAGAAGGGGTGGGGGAGGGTGAAGGCAAAACTCTGCTGCCCGCGCTGCCATGCCCCTTTCCTTCTGGGGCAGCTTTGTAACCCAACAAAGTGGCACTGCTGAAGCGAGCCCAGGTCCCCAAGCTGATGTGAAAGCTGGAGTGGTCGGCTGTGCACTAGAAGGATGGAGTTACCACGGCAACCCTTAAGTTTGTGCTGCCTATGGGCTCACTTAGCCTTCCTTCCCAGCCACGGTCCTAGCATGAGAACCTTTCGAGCCAGCAGGTCCTATGTGGGTTCCAGCTGACCTATTTGCACTTCTGTTTTGGACTACATCCTCTCAGGGTTGGGACCCCTGTAATCAAACTTGAGGTATCCCCTTGCTTCTCAAAACACAAGCAGGAGCAGCAGGACTAAGAGTCAAGATTGCATGATTCAAATTTATGAGCCTCATCCCCCCCAAGAGAATCCTAAACATGCATCCTTTGGGGAAAATCCCCCAAATCCAGCTCTTCTCGGTTGACCTTACAGGTGTTTCGGGCTCTCCTTCGTGGGTGGAGTGGGGAGAGGGTTGCTCTTTAGAATCATAGAACACAGGAGCTAATTTGGGTCTATAAATGGAAAAAGATCTCAGTAGAACTGTACAAAAATGTATCACTTGAGAAATGAATGTTTCCCATGCTCGTGCCCCAAGAGAGAACACCTGCCGGCTCTGTGGCGCGCTGTTCACATTCCTATTGTCTGTGGAAATACTCGAGTTTGCATAGCTCACATATGGCCTTCTGTCCCGAGTTAGGGCACCTGCAGAAGGGAATGAGTCTTGGCTTTCAACAGGTCATATGGTGCCATGTGGTGGCCCAACCCCTTTGGCTCTTCTGTTGTCACTGGATGCAAAGATGAAGGCGGGGGAGGGAGAGGGCGGGGACTCATGGAGCTACAGAATATGAAGTCTCACCCTCCCCTCTGGATTCCTGCCATGATATCCAACCCATCTGGCATCAGGGAGGTGCTGAGGAGTCGGGGAGGTGCCTGGCTGAGCTCCCTCTCTGGACTGTCTTTTAGCCTGGATAGAAGTGTATGAAAATTAACCTGGCCACTTCCTTGGAGAAATGCTCAATGCTTGGGTCTTTGTAACCCTCTTTCTGTTCAGTACTTTGTCTCCTCCTCCAAGTCCGACATCCCGAGTTCTCCAGTGTGTGTCTTTGTGGTTCTAGAGTGCAGGAGAGGAAGAAGCCCCCGTCTTTGGTCTGCAGACCAAAGGACCACTGTGGCACAGTTGCAGGAGGGTGCTTTCTTGCTGGCGTCCAGGCATGGTGCCCTTAAGATGTCACTGGAGATGTGGTTCAGTGGTAGAGTGCTTGCCTAGCGTGTCTGAGACTCCAGGATCATTTTCCAGAGCCATGCAAAGCCAACAGAAAGAAATGCCAGTGCTCTGGGCCCTGTGTCTCTTTCACATCCACCCTTCGGTGGCTTCTCAGGAATGAAGTGCTGGAAAGAGGCGTTTGTGTTGGCTGAACAAAGGGAGGGCAGATGCCTACCGAGTACGGGTGTGTTTAGGTTTAAATTTCCACGCCCAGCTTCTCTTACACAGTTGTGCTTCTCTGGAATTATTTTTAGTTTTGAAAAGTTAGAAAATCACTGAAATACAAACAAAATAATTTATTTCCATAGATTTTCTAACATTTAGTTTTTCTTTGATTTTGTGTGTGCATTTGTGCACACTGTAGATGGCATACACAATTTACCTTAGACTTTCATATCATAGCAGAGTTTACCACTTACTATATGTATAATCATTGTTTTGACTTTTTCCTTTGTGATATTTGTCTATTGTTTTGTTTAGTTTGGAAATCCCCTTTTACCTTCAGATTTCTCTCCAGTGCTAAGGCCCTGCCAAATATATATTTATGCTTTAAATGATCTCATTATTTGCATTTAACATCTGCGTAGAATTTGTTTCAGCATGAGGATAATATCAAACTTTTTTCCCCCTTCATATACTTTGCCAGTTTTTCTAGCAATTATGTGGATAACCCCAAATGCTTTAGTGGTTTCCTTTGTAATTGTACAAAAAAACGCAGTCTTACCAGGATCTGTTGGAGACCTTGCTTTTGGGTTCATTGATCTGCCTGCCAGTTCTTTTTATAGACAGCGTTGTTTTCACTGTCTGGCGGCACAGCACAGAGCGTGTCACCCTCCTGCCCCATTTGTTCAGGCTGCATTTTGGGAAGTGGGGGCACAGAACGATGGATAAGCCATAGAATTGATAGAATTAATTTCATCCTATATTTAAGGTTATAAAACTTGTCATAATAATTTCTTGCCTGTGGCCTCAACATATATATCCAATTGATCCAGTCTGATAGCTAGTATCAACATTTCTGAAAATACAGTTTAAAAGCATGTCAAAATGTGTCCTGTCTCCTATCTCTTCCACATACCTTGGGACTTTTCTTGTCTTTTGCCTGGCTGATTTTAATTGTAACATCGTGATAGCTTTGAACAAAAATTTTTGGGCTTTAATCTGTGGTCTCTATATTGATGAATAAGTTGTTGTAGGATTGAAAACTCGGCCGTGGTTAAGAACATGTACTTCTCTTATGGCAGACCCACGTTCAGTTCCCGGACTCTATGCTGGGCAGCTCATGGCCACTGTTGTGTTCCCTAAAGAAGCAGCAAGCAGTGAGGAAAGTGTCACATATGCCACTGGGCTGAAATTCTAGTAGAGAAGCAACAAGGTCATCAATAAACAAATCAGTATCTGAACCACCACGTGTCACAGTGATGACAAGCTCCAGTTCTGACATCCGAGGGGCCTAGGAAGGCTCTTCCCTGTATCCCTGCGTCTGGAGCTATCTGACTTGGATGGCGTCACCACTGCCCCTTCTGTCTGAGGTCTGCTTCTGCCTCTCCCACAAGACACTTGTCACCATATCTAAGGTTCATCACCCAGGTCATATAAGGTGGCTGTTCTTTGGCCCTATAAAATAATATTTACCGAATCCTACAGGATAAGGATGTTAATATGACTTTTGGGATCAGCATTCTAAATAGTCAATAAGGGCTGAACAGAGAAGCAGTCCCAGTAAGTAAGCATTTACTCCAGAACTCAAAGAACCCCCAGAACCCGCAAGGAAACTGAGGCGCATTCTTTGGGTAGGAGATAGAGAGCACAAGACTGTAAGAAACATGTTCTGATGGGGTACGATGATTAGTTGTGACTGATGGATGACTCAGACCCTAAGAGAGGAAACTGATACCACTGTTTTCAAAGACTTGGCAAGGTGGAATTGTTAGTGAACCTGCCAAAACTGTGTTCAGAGAGCCACAGTATTACAACACTGGGATCCTCGATGTTAGATCCAAATTCCACTGGCATAATACTGTCTTGTTTTAGATGTATCAGTGGATAGCTGAGTGCTTCAAATGTAAGAATTTGTGATTTCTCTTTTCTTTTCTGTTTGAAGTTCTTTGGATGCTTGTGTACTATCTAGTAGGATCTTTCTTTCTTTAAAAAAAAAAAAAAACACAAAACACTGCTATATGCCCATGGAAGTGATGTTGTACATTGTTAGAGAAAAGGGTGAGTTATTTACTTTTAAATTTTATCTAAACTTGTCACCTAAAGGTTTTCCCCTTTCCCCCCCTGAAGCCCCTATCCCATAATAAGGGGCTCTGGGGATTTCCTAAAACATCCACACATTAAAATGAGCAGGTACAGAGTTAATACTGCCAACGAGGATGTTCTCCTTTTGCTAATGTAAATGGCTAAGACTGTGGCCCATCATGAGTTTGGCCACTGATGTGTGGCCTTCCCACACTGAAGGGGTCTACGTCCCGATGTGCACATAGGGCCATTCTTGCAGCTGCTGCTGATTGAGAACCCTCAGGCTTCCAAAGACCATAGGTGTATCCTCTCAATGCAAACTGTGTTCTCAAGTACGTTGGCTGAAATGGAAGAAGAATATGAAGAAAGGGGTATAATAAAACTCATGTTGACCTGCAGGAGCATGTGCGGATGCATTCCCACTTTCAAGCCCCTTCTCGGCCCAAACTCATGAGGACCATGCTCTCCAATCTTCCGCAGGGCACATTCCTAGCGAAGGAATCCTTACATAACATTAATATAAGGAGGCTGATAAGGATTCTCTAGCTCCCAGGAAGCTAATCACAGAAGGGCACTCAACATCGTATGAATAATTTGCAAGTTCCTTAATGTCTTGATTAAACTTGTGTAAAATCAAACCCAATGAGAATAGCTATGAATGAGTTTGAAGTAAGCCTGTCAACTTCGAGTGTGGAGGAGGTGAGTGAGACAGCACCTGGGGCGGGGAGAAGCTTGAGTGTGCTGGGGTCAGCTCAAGGGGGGAATTCAGAGATGTATCCTGCCTGGTCTTCTAAGCTTTCTGCTTAGTCTGTGAGTTGGTGCTTTCCTTGGGACCCACAGCTCCACGCATTGACACCAGCAGGGGTCGCTAGAGAGGCCAGTGGCCCAGCTTCATAACGCATCAAGGTTTCTTCCTGAGGTGTTTTCTGTTTTCCCCATTGCCCACTCATTTGCTTGTTTGTTTGTTTTTGAAAGCAAATGGGCACTGGGCTTTGTAAACCCCATAAGAATTCTAAATTAATTCTAGGCATCAAAATCCATTATACCAGGAGGTAGTACCTGCAGCGGTCGGATTAATAAATCACCATTAATTGATATTTAAACAAGTTTAATAACAAAACCAGACTCACGAAACCAAGGTTCCAGCGGAGTAGCCAGCGGAAACAGGAGCGAGCGGAAGGGGCGCGCAGCACAATATATCAGTAAACATACGCCTGAGGGCAGCCCGCCCCCAAGGGGAGGGCTTATCCCTACAAGTACCCATCTCAGTTTGTGCTGATGGTTCAGAGTCTGAGCTCAAACCCACAGAGAGTGTGCACCCCTCTGCTGTTCACTAACCCTCCAGAAATACAGGTCACTCAGGGAGGAAATAAAAGCCTGTGGGACCTCAGACCTCTGAAGGCAGAAGTCACAAAATAATCCTATACCAGTTCAAAATTATGAATAATAAAGGGTTATTTATTTAGGGGGAAACTTACAAATCAGTGTCCTAGACAACAGTACTTTGCAGCCAGAAGTGAGAGGTGGGAGAAAGAGAGCAAGTGCATGCTTTATAGCTGCATTTACAGTACAAGAGGCCACGCCCCAGCGGGCAGGTATCGTAAATGCTGTTGGCTGAAGGAGTGGAATGTGCTCCCACAGCAGACCTCAGTCTTAATTGGAGTGGGCCAGGAAAGTGAGAAGGAGAATTCTCCAAAGAGAGAGAAGAAAAACTGGAGACTGGACAGGCGGGAAGCTGGAGTGGAGAGAGCTAATCCAAAGCCCTGCTTCTGAGCAGCCTTGGGGACTAACCGCCTGGGCAGAGCTCCATGAGTCATGATTACTTACAAAGTATCTCCAGCGTGTCTGTGGCCTCTCTGACCTTCCTCCTGTCTTATAGGTAACAGCCACGGATGCAGATGCGGGGCTCTACGGCTTAGTTGAGTATTCTCTTTACGACGGCTTCCAGAGCTACGAAGCACCCTCAGCGTTCCAGATCGACCCGCAGGATGGGCGCCTCTGTGTGACACAGGATATCGACAGGGAAAGGGATCCAGGCACCTTTGACCTGCTGGTGAAGGCTAAGGATGGGGTAAGCTTTTGGTATAAAACACCAGGCGTTCTCAAAAGTGAGCCACAGTGAGCACACGGAAGCATGGCGGGGGATGACAGGGCACGACAGTTAGCCCCCTGCCCCCGTGTTGCGTGAACCACCACCTCCCTCTAGTGTTATTTCATCATCAACAAATATTTCACATTGATAATGATTTCCAAGAAAGCAGAGCTGCCGTGTGTTGACCAGCCTTTGATGGGTTCCAAGATCCACACTGTGTTAGAGGTTCTGGATGATCTAACTCTATCTTTCTTTCTCAGAGGAGAAACTGTCTGGAAACAGTGGTTGTCTGAATATTTGCTTCTGCTAGCTCCATAGGTATCGACTGTGCCCAAACAGAGATAGACATTTGGTCTTTCAGTCTGGATTTAAGCACGGTCCCGTGGGTAAATAAGTTGCTCCAGGAGGATGCATTCTGGATAAAAATAAGTCCCTTGTACTCTCATGGAAATGGCCAGAAAATCATTCCTTGTGTCTCCCAGGCTCCCATCTGGTGGCCACTCCGACCTTCAAGGTTTAATTTGACTTCTTCCTAGGTTTGGTGGCCAGACAAAGAACCAAGAGTCTGTGTAGGGGTAGCAATGTCTCCACTGGGGAATGAGTGCACCCCGCCAAAGGTCACTGGATGTTCATTGCTTGAATCATCACCTCAGCCTAGAGAGCATCATGAGCTTCCTGTCCAAGAACTGGATCCCAAAGTCCAATTTTATTCCAGGGATCTTCTCTAGTTTTGGAGATGTTTGGCTCATGTCCCAAACAAGTATTTTTGTCATTTAGTTATTCATCCCCTAGAAGGACCAATCCATAGGCTCAGGATGAACACCGAAGGATACATTTAATCTTGGCGAAAGTGTAGAGCACAAATTTCTTTTAAGTCCTTTTAGTGTCTCATGGCTGGAAGGAGCCTTCAAAGCCATTAGACTTCTGACAGCTTTCCTGATCTTGGCCCTGCTTAGATCAGCATCTGCCCATAGCATTCCTTATGTGTGCTGTGGAGTGTAGACACAAGAAGCCACATAGACTGCCCTGGACCAGTCTGTCCTTCTTCGGTGACAGAATCCTAAGTGGAAGGGACAGGAGATGAGAAAATAAAGAAGACAGTGATGTTTGGGATCAGGAGGTCTTGCGCAAGCTGATGGCTCATGTAAGCAAGTTTATTAGGAAGTAAAACATCTCGTATACTACTTCCAGGGGCAAAAAGGGATACAGTCAGCAGAAACTGTCATACATGGGAGGAGTCAGTGGGAAGCTCATTGAACAATATTTCACAAGAGGAACAAATAGTATCTAAAGAGCATCAGAGACCTAGCACATAGTAGTCTTGGGATTTAGGGAGAAGGTTGGCTTCTCAGGATATAAGCAGTTACTCCATAGCCCAACCCCAGGCCTTTCCTGGCATTGCCAAGCATATTCCTCCCTTTTAGAAGAGAAACTGTGCTTCTTTTCCACATGTCAGGATCTCAGGGAAAGCTTTGGTTCACTCCAGCCCCTAGTATTATAGGTGCAGTGTGTGAACGCTTGCCTATGTGTCCACACACATATAATACATACAGATACACATGTGTGCAGGCAGATACACATATGTCAAGTTAGCCAGTGTCCTGTGTTACTGCATCGTCTTTATGAAGTCCTGTGATAAGCTCGGAGTTTCAACAGGGCAGAATGATACATCCTTACCGAACAGTGCAGTGTTAACTAGCAGCATAATCTGCTCAGAATCATGTCATTAAAAGGGTTGGCACAGCTGAAGATAAAAACTGCTAATGACTAAATAGGTAGCCCCTAAAAACAATCTAGACTGCAATCATGGGATAATTAAATCAGGTAAAGTATCTTAGGTCCAAGCTGTGGGAATTCCGGCCATAATGTGTTTATTTAAAACAAACTGAGCTTTGGCACAAGTCCTTGACTTATTTAGAGTCATTCTGACAATTCGTGTTTTTTTCCCTCAGATTCTTTCTCTTTCTAATAAATGGCCTGCACGTCCTTGGTAGAAAATTGCTGAAAAATCTATTTGCAAGTGGTTCCTAGGAGGTTTTTATCTATCGATAGAATGATTTTTCTTTATACAGCACCCTGGATGGCCTGTGCGTCTTCTCTCAGGCTCTATTTATCTTCGTGGCGACTGTCAATATGTATTTTCTAGTCCGGTCACTTCCTCTTCTCCACTGACACCACATCTGTAATATCCTACTTTTGCTGTTGCAATGATTGCTATTTATCTCTCACACAGAGGATGCTATGAAATTATATAATGGAACCGATTAATTGGATTGGCAGTCAAGTTATTGTCTACAATTAAGCGCTACAATTTAATTATACCATCTTTCTTCTAAGCCTTGTATTGCCTTTTTTCTGATACATTTTCACAAACAAAGCCCTCAATCTTTGGTATGCATTTATCATTCTCTCCCTACTTTTGTTACATCCAGAATTCTATAACTGAAATATGTGTCTGGAAAACAAAAGAGCTTTCAACTTCGTCTTCCCACTCAGGGCTTCAGGAAGGATTTTGACAGGCACTCTAGAGAGTAAATTGGCTTAGCCTCTCACCATTCTGTGTCTTCATGATAAGAGCTCGCCGTTGGAGCTGGGACCTAAAATGTGTCCAGTTATTTGTCATTTTAAATTGTGTGTGTGCGCGCGTGTACGTGAGCATGTATGAGTGCAGGTGACTTCAGAGACCCCTGGGCCATCTTTCTAGCCCAACTTCTTATTCTAGTCTTTTGTTTCATTGATTCCTAATTGACTTACCTGAGGATGGTGCATTTACCCAGTGTTCTAGCTAAGGAGTTTGGGCCAAATCTAAAATGTCCCTCTGGCCAATCATTCCCAGATAAATGTGGCATGTCCTAACACCAGTCTTCTTCATTCTCATCTCTGAGAGCTTAAGCTTCCCCGTCATCAACACCCACCTTCTCAACCCACCTGTTAAAATTCAACTTTTAACGCAGATCAATATTCCAGCCACTATTTTACTCTTCAAACTCATTTACTATCACCCAGAAAATTCTGCATAAACTCCAGTTGGTCTCTGGTTGTTCCTTTATCGTCTCCCTGTTGATGGAAAACAGCCTGTAGTCCTGTGGATGCTGGTCCCTCCTACTCAATAGGGGTAAGAACTGCAGTCCCAAGGTGGTAAGAGGATTGCCTTTTTGTCTCAGCTGCTTTTATATTGCTATGAAAAAAAAATACCACAAGTAAGATAATTTACAGAAGAAAGTGTTTAATTTGGAGTCCTGGTTTCAGAAGTTAGGATCCATGATCATGATAGTAGAGAACATGGACACAGGTAGACACGGAACTGCATCATCAGCTGAGAGACCATGTCTCCATCCATAAACACCAGGGCCAGAGAACTACCTGGGAGTGGCATGGGCTTTGTGACACACTTCTTCCATCAAGGCCACACCTCCTAATCCTTCCCAAACAGTTCCACCAAATGGGGACCAAGTATTCAGACATATTAGCCAATGGGGGCCCATTCAAATTACTGCAACTTCTAAGTCATTTCTATTCCTTTCTCAATTGAAAGTCAATTTCAGAGTGTGTTAAAGCCCCTGGGATAGAATAAGACCATTATCATATTTTTTTTTTTTAAGAAAAGTTTGAAGCACACTTGAATAAAGTACTGGCCAGGATGATGTACTGGTCAATGGGGTTCCCAGAAAATGGTGACAAGTCACATTTGACTTATAAAGAGAAACCCATAAGGCTGTGTGTATTTTCCACCAGACTCAACCAAGGGCAAGGATATATCCTGATGCACTTCCTGCCTCCGTACCTCCTGTCTGCATGTGATCAAGCTCATCCAGTCCAGTTTGATCTAACTTGTCTAGGGGAGCAAAAACATGTGGTTTGTTATCTTACATAAATGATAAACTCCAACATTTCAGGAAGGTTTTATCCTTGGGTAAGGTAGTTACAAGTTAGAAGCATTTTTGTTTTATGGATCTCTTAGGAACAATAATTAAAATATAACTTTGGCCCTCGCAAATGTAGTACAGATACCCCTGTTTGTCACTGTCCTGTTTCAAACTCCCAATCAGTTTTGTACCCGACTTAGCTTGTCGTCTTCATTCCCTCCCTTTGATACTCAGCTTTCCTTCACTGCAACAAAACATCAAAGATTCTTAGCTTTTAAAGAGAGAAGATTTATTTTAGTTCATGGTTTGGAGGTTGAAGTCTGTTAGAGCAAGCCCTCTTCTGTGGACTCCTGGAAAGATGAAACACTCATGGCAGAAGCTCATGGTGGCACATCACCTCATGCTAGAGGAAACACAGAGAAATAAGCCAGCATCCTACAATCTCCATTCAAAAACACACCCCAGTGGCCTAAGGACGTCCAGCAAGCCCCACAGTCTTGAGTCGTGTGAGCAGGCTGTGGAGAGGACTCAAGTGATACCAGCTTTCGTGAGCTGTCAATCACGCAATGGTGTGCTGCTTCAGGGATGCAGCTGCCCCAGCTACCCCGCTCCTCTCTGTGATCCTAGTGAATCTACTGGTTCACCAAGCTAGATGGAATTCTTTGTTGGTGGAATCCTTCCTTTGACCTGTAGTTGCACCCTCTATGTGGGGTGGATAGACATAGAATAGATATTTTCTCTTCAAGAAAGTTTTGTGGTGGACTTTATAGCTGACAGTTATGAAGTATTGTAAATGCCCTGTCTGTATCATGTCCTTCATGTCAGTGGCAGGCCTGTGGAATCACAGATGCCGGAGCCCACCTAACATGCTTTCCAGAAGAGTTAGCTTAGTCTAGGTTCGGGCTGCCTCTCTGCAGTTCTGGTCTTGCAAATGGGGTGGATAGAGCTTTATGCCCCGCACTTTGGGCTCTCTGTCGT